AAATTCTATTCTTGGCCCTATACTCTTTTTAATTTACATTAACGATCTTCCAGATATTCTCACATCTAAGGTGGCATTGCTCTTTGATGATACTACAATTTATTTTTGTCTTGATAAGAAGCCAACACTCTATGATTGATATGGGAGGGAGCATTTGAACTTGAAAAACATTTGAGCTTGGAGGGAGCATTTGAGCTTGAAAAGTATCTTACTTCTGCAACAGTACAGTATCTTTAATTCAGATAAAAGCCAATTTTTTTTAGCCAATCTTTATCACAATAATCTAGATTTTCCTTTGTTTATGAACGGTAATGTACTAATGAGTCTTTTACCGTTCATCTTCTAGGATTAACTGTTACTTCTAATCTTTCTTGAAAACCATATATTAAACCAATAGCAACATTAGCATATAAACCTATAAATAATATCTATAAATCTCAAATTCGTTCTTGTCTGGAATACTGTTGCCGTATCTGAGGCGGATATTCGAATGATGTATATATATATATATATATATATATATATATATATATATATATATATATATATATATATATATATATATATATATATATATATATATATATATATACTTCGAATTATATATATATATATATATATATATATATATATACTTCGAATTATATATATATATATATATATATATATATATATATATATATATATATATATATATATATATATATATATATATATATATATATATATATATATATATATATATATATATATATATATATATATATATATATATATATATGGGAATAACTTTTTTACAAAGTTTTATTATTGCACAAGATTTCTCATTAAAAGTATCTTGCGCATAGTTGCGCGAATCAATGTTTAGCAGGTTTTAAACTTACGACTTATTTGTCGTTTTCGATTGTTCAAAGCACATTGTTGTTAAGTATGAACTCTAACTAATTAATTGCAATTACAGAAACTACAAGAAACAATAAAGTTTAATGCTATTTCACTTAGTTAAGTAATGTGGTTTTATTATTTATAAACTTAAACTTATTTCAGTTAATTATGGATTATGTTTTTAATAATTAAAATACGAATGCTATTTAAAAACTTTAAAAAACTTTATTATATTTTTTTATAGAAATTTTATTGTACCAATCATTATGAAAAATAAAGACTCAAAAATTGTTCCTTGCTTTGGAAAACAATTTAATCAAACCAGTTACCGACCCTGATGCTTATAAAATTACAGGGATCGCTCACATAGACTTCAAATTATTTACTAAACAATTTAACAAAAAATGAAATAAAGTAAACAGACACAAGAATAAATTTGAGTTGCATTACAAAATCTGGTTCGAAAAAGAAATACAAACAAACAATGCATGTTTAGAAACAGATAAACTAGACAAAGGCCAAAACTCGGGCTTGGCTTTTCCTATTTCTTCTTACAATTAAGGTAAATATTTCATAAAAATTAAAGTAATGGACTCATTATTTTTTTAAATATTTAAATTTAATTTTAGCAAGTGTTTATACTCAATACAATCATCTGATATTTTAATTTAAATCAGTTGTCTACGGAAGACCACCAGGTGCAAATTCCATACCATTTACCCAAGCTTTTGAAAAAACAAAGTAGAGGAGAGCAGAAAAAACAAACATTGCTGTCGAAAGAGTTCGTGTTTGAGCAGTTTCAAAAGGAAACAAATTGTATTCAACTTATAGCTAGGGATTTACGTTGTTGTGGAATACAAACTACTGATTATCCAGCCTCAGTTGATTTACAGAGTCTTATTGATCATACAACGTACAGGTTGTTAAAATACTCAATAAATCTGTAAAAGCTCCTAAGAAATTTATTCATAAACTTTAAACACAAAATATGATTTGATGGTTCATCCGGCCAATCATTATACAAACAAAATACAGAAGACGAGATAAGTATTATTTATGTTGAAGAACAATCTTTATTTCTATCCTACTTCGTTCAAAATAAACTTTATATTGAAAAACCTCACAAATCACTACGGATCAATGAAAAACTATCTTCTACACTTTACTGCCGTCAAATGCGATTTCAATATGTAAAAGAAAGTACTGTCATTACACCAGAATATATTTCCTTCAAGAACAATAATTTGAAACCAACAATCTTTAGTTCCTTTATTATCAAACATAAGTTAGAATGCACAATTATTGATGGAATAGTGGCTACTATAGCTTTGCCTTTCGTGTCGTGGAAAGACGACATGCAAAGTATTCTAAAACTATAAGGTGTCTGCTGAAATACTTGGCTTAAATAAAAATCTCATGAAACATTCCTACGTAATTCTTTGTGTTTTATTGTGCAAACATCAAGTTAATGCTGATGAACTTGAAAAATATACCAAAGAAACAGCAGAGCTCTGCGTTTCTCTCTACCAATGGTTTGCAATGCCTTAAATTGTACGTAAAATTCTAATTCATAGTTCTCAAGATGTACGAAATAAACCATTACCATTAGGTCTTCTTTCTCAGCTCAGGAACGTTGAAATAAAGGCGTTAAAAATTATAGAGAACACTATAATATATATATATATATATATATATATATATATATATATATATATATATATATATATATATATATATATATATATATATATATATATACATTAAAACCCAGACTGTTGTGTAATAATATAATAATCACAATTACATACCTACAATGTATAATAGTATAATAATATACATAAATATAACAAGATGTCGATTTATACTTATACCTTTTTTTTTAATCAAAAACTCATTTACAAAAGTCAAATAAAAAATACGAAATCTAATTTCCAACATCTCAAAAAAAAACTATTTCTATTCAAGTTATTACATGAACGCATTCAAGTGTGACGAATGCAATTATTTTTATTCGTAATAACCTAACTTTGATAAATATCATAAGTATGCGGTTGTGTCTCCTGTGCGTCTATGCGGTTCTGCCCCAGAAGGCAGTTTTTAGAAAATATACAGTTTCATAGCTGGCTTATTAGGTTATGTTGATATCAAAAATGGTTTTCAATTGATGAAATAACGCTAATGACACATATCTTAAACACTAAAATCAAATATTACTTAATCTTCAAAAGAAAGGTCTGGAACTAAATTACATACACTAAATATTTAGTCGACTAATTTGAGTTAACTACCCAGTGGGAAAAAAGACATCTTTGGACGAATAAAAGGCGTCTTTTTTATGATTTGTTATGTCTTTTTATAATTAGCCAAAATAAAGACGTGGAAAGACGTCTTTTAAAAAGACGTCTTCAAAAAAGAGGTCGAAAAGACGCCAATCGGTTGTTAATAAGGAAATCATTATTTGCTTAAGAAAATTAAAAATAATTATTGCCAATAGAACCTAACAAAAATGGGTTTTAACCCACAGTATCGTAATTACGATATCTTTGTTACGTTCTGATTGGCCCATTTTACAATTGCAGTTGTTTAGCTAAAAAATGTTAATTGGAAGAAGCAAAAGCGGATGGCGTGGTGCCAGTAAGATGGTATCGATATGATCTAGTCTCAATTAAGTTAGTCGCAGGTAAGTGTTTTAAAAAAGTTTTATCATTTATTTTTAAACTAATTTTTTAATGTATTGTGCTTGAAGAACGTTGTTTATTACATATTAAATTAAAATATTTATTTTTAGACGAAAAATAAATATTTTAATTTGTAAACAATTTCTGTCTATATTTACTTGTTCAAGTGAAAACGAACGATAGAAAAAAAGAAGCATTCAGTAGGCTTGCAATTTTTTTTTAAATATATTTTTAAATGATTTGAATAATTTTGTTGTTTTTATTTAGTTGAATGATGAAATTGTTTATACAAAAGATTGGCTCTTTAACTTTTATGTTAAATATGTTATTTCCTTGTTAACTGTTGTCTGTCATTAACAAAGCAAGTAAAAAATTGCCCATAATGACAACAGATTTATCTTTAGAACTGTTCGCAAAGTTTTCGGTTTGGATGCAAAAAACCAAGTGAAAATGAAACTGGAAAGGTACACTTTCTTATATCTAAACATCGTTGCAGCTTTCTAGTCTTCATTTTTGCTTATGTGTATTTCATCTGTGTTGCTAATGATATTGCCAGTTTTTATGATTTTATGTTGTTAAGTAAAGCATCATTATGTTTCAGGCTAAAATAGAGCTTTGACTAATACTTTTTTCCAGTTTAAATGAATAACAACTCTCAAGGTGTATTAGCTGAATTATCTTTTTGTTTTGATAGTCTTTAGTCAATAACGGATTTTCAAATTGTTATGAATCTACAACACTTAATTTCAGCAAAATTCAATTAAAAAGTCATGTTATAGAAGACAGAAAAATATCCACATCTGTTTTTAATAACTTGGCTTTCATAGCAAATCTGAGAGGTGCAAATGTTTAGCTTGATTTAAGTACTACATAACAAAATACATCGTTGTACACCGTTTGAAAATTTTGACTTTTTTGGTTACGAAACATCCCGAAAAAATCCTCTTAGGGTATGAAACTACACATGTCAAGAATACTATATCAACTTACTTTGAAATCCAAAATTAAAATCCGAGAGAGATATTTTGATTTAAATTTTTGAAATAATATAAAAACATTAGCAGTTTTTGTTTTTGAAAATAGCGGTATTGGGGTGGGTCGTAGTGATTTTTTTAATAAAATAATTTTTTTAGACAATTAATTTGTAAAGATTTCGTATTTAATAAATTTTTTTGAGAAATGAGCTTTAAGGGGAGATATTTCCATTTCAAGTTTTGAATCGATTAATTTTTGAATCGCGAATTACGATGAAAAATTTGATACGTGAATTGCCGTAAATTTGTACTTTCCTAAAATTTGTACTCTTCGGACATTTCCAATTTTACGGACTTTTTGTACTTTTAGTACATTTTCATACGTTTTATGACCTCTTTGTACTTTATGAATTAGTTTAAATGATATCTTCAAACAGATCACAAGTTCATCTCAGATTTTGAAATGCCTACTTTTTCAAAGGATCATAATCAATGTCGGCAGGTCGTTTGCACACTTTGTATGAAAAAAAGTGACAGAGAAATTTCAGAATATTTCATCAGTGAAATCAAAAGATTGATTTCTGGCAACATCAACTTTGATGATGAGAGGGTTCCACGAGGGATCTGTGTCACCTGTAGGTTCCTGCATAGAAAGTTAGCTTCTGGAGATGAAGAAGTGAGTATACCTCAACTTTATGACTTCGAATCCATATTGATCAAACCATCAACTCGCCAGACAACTAAATGTGATTGCATCATTTGTCAAATTTCAAAAACCAAAGGGAAAGGAAAGCACCCCTTTGAAAAACCATCTCAGCAAGAAGTGCAAAAAGAAGAAAAATCTTTTGAAAAACGATGCACAAAATGCCTATCTGTCATTGCTCGAGGACTGCCTCATAACTGCAAAGAAGCAACACGTCGTGAAAACTTGAAAGCTCTGGCATTGGCAGATCCGTTAGGGGCAGAGCAAATTGCATCATTCATCGTTTCTTCCAAAGAGGTATCTTCCGATGGAACTATTCTGATTAGCCGGTTTCATGGAAAGCCTCTTGAAATCAGACCAGGTATGTTAAAGTATTGTTGCTGGGTTTGCTTTTTAATATTGTTTTATTTCTTATTTGTTTCTTTATTCACAGGATCAAATGCAACTCAGGGTCTCTCCTCAGAGCCATTGACAACACAAGATATGATTAATATTCAGCAAAACATTGGACTTTCTAACAATGGAATGAGAAAGCTTGGGTCAGCTTTAAATCAAATAAGTCCTGTTCGCATAGTTGAGGCCAATTTTCAACAAAAATTTGCTGCAGCTGGAACTACCCTCAAAAGTTTCTTTACAGTAACCACTTCACAGTTACCAGAATCAAATGAAACACGCCATATTGTTCACTGCACAAATTTGGAAACCCTCAAAGAAAATATTGTTTCATCCAGAGGCTTGCAAAACTCAAACTTCTTAAAGCTTGGCATTGATGGTGGAGGATCATTCTTTAAGGCAAGTTTGAGTCTTATCAGTGAGCATTAACGAGAACCTCACAGTCCTGTTCAGAAGAAATCAAAATTGATCACCAAAGACAACTTCAAAAACACAAGTGTTCAAAAACAACTGATTGTTGCCATTTCAGAGAACACACCAGAGAATTACCCAAATGTTAAGCACATTCTGGATCTTCTCCAAATCAATGAAATCTCCATTTCAGAAAAACTTGTTATTTCTTGTGACATGAAGCTTGCAAACATAGTTTGTGGAATCCAGTCACACAGCAGTAAGCATCCTTGCTGTTGGTGCAACATAGACTCAGCACATTTGGAAAACTGTGGTCAGCTTAGAACATTCGGGGGCATCAGAGACTTGTACAAAAAATTTGTGAAGTCTGGTTGTGATGCCAAAAGATCAAAAGAGTTTGAAAATGTGGTTCATTTGCCAATGTTTGCCTTTCCAGACAGGGAATTGATCCTTGAGGCAATCCCACCCATGGAACTGCATTTGCTCCTGGGAGTTGTCAACCACCTCATCAAGTACTTGGTTCAAGTTTTTCCAAAGACCAAACAATGGTTGGATTCAATCCACATTCAGATGCAACCATTTCATGGTGGCCACTTCAATGGAAAAGATTGCATGAAAGTGCTGAGGAAAATTGAAGAGCTTATGCAATTGACAATTGCTGAAAAAGCACCAGATGCAACAAAGGCATGCCAAGCATTGAGCTCATTTCACCAGGTTGTGGTTTCATGCTTTGGATACACTCTGTTGCCAGATTATGAGGCAAAAATTTGTGATTTCAAAGATAACTACTTGAAATTACCAGTCTCAGTCACACCAAAGGCACATGCTGTTTTTCATCACGTTCAACAATTCATTCATCAGCACAAGGTTGGTCTAGGTGTATTCAGTGAGCAAGCAACAGAAGCTCTTCATTCAAATTTCAAGACCCACTGGCATAGATTCAAGCAAAACTCTACTCATCCGGAATATTCCAGTCAACTCCTCAGTTGTGTAGTTGATTACAACAGCAAAAAAGTTTAGTTGGAAAGAAAGAAAATAAAAGACTCCTCATTTTCAATTTGGAGAAACTCAGTTTGTGTGTGTGTAAAGAATGTATTTATTTGTCAAAAGAAAAATTTTTGAAGTGAGAAATTTTGATTATATCAAAAAATTGAAAGATGGTTTTCTAAATATTTTCAAATAAAATTTTAAAATTGTGAATATGAATTATTGTCAAAAATGGCATATTTTCTATCTTAATTTTACTTTTTAAATTAGTTAGGCTGTATTAGGACTGATATGACCCCTTTTGTTAAGGGCAGGTTGTAACCAACTTCTATCCATTTGGTGAAAATATTGAATATTTTCAAATCAAAATATCTCTCTCGGATTTTAATTTTGGATTTCAAAGTAAGTTGATATAGTATTCTTGACATGTGTAGTTTCATACCCTAAGAGGATTTTTTCGGGATGTTTCGTAACCAAAAAAGTCAAAATTTTCAAACGGTGTGTACAGTCAAATTTATTTAACACACTCATTTGTATATATTTTTAGACTGTTTACCGTTTGACTCCTGTCCCAATCTAACCTAGTGGGTTCAAAAAAAAGGGACGCGCTGGAAACATGAGTGGATTAAAAGGATCATCCCTTTTTGAATTAATAGTCGGTAAGTATAATATCCTCCACTCAGCTAATCAAGTTTCGTTTGCTTTTTTTGTATTACATTTAAGCAATAGACTGTTTTTTTATGTTCACTCGTTTTTTAGAAGTGGTAACCAGCTAGAAGTCGTAACCTGCTTGTATGAAAGAATTTCTCGACGTGAAATTGTTAATTTTATTCAACAACGCCTAGAAACAGAGCTCGCTCAAGAAACAGAAAAGAAAGAGAAAGATAAAAAAATATTCTGTTGAACAATACTGTTGTTTTATTTATAAACTATTCTCCTATATTTAAACATATAAAAGATGTAGAAAATGCTTTCTCTTTTATATTGACACCTAAAAGAGGTTTTTTTCTCGGCATCGGAAAGAGCTTTTTGTCATACTTTGTATGAAGAGCTATTACCATTTTCATTTAAAAAAAACAGCTTTTCATATATGAAAAATAGGAATACTATAGTGTATAGGATACTATAGTATACTAATAAGTATGTCAAAAAAGTCGTTCCGACCCTGAGAAAAAACACTTTTTTAGAAGTTCATAATTAATAAACAAAGACGTCTTTTCATGATAAGACAGTTTCATAATAAAGACAAAAAAGACGCATTTTCGATGTCGAAAAGATGTCGTTTATATGTCGAAAAGATGTCGTTTAGATTTGCATATTCGACTTAAAAAAGGCGTCTTAAAGACGCATTTTTCATGTCTTTTCATGACAAGATTAAGATTAAAAAAAGACGTCTTTTCGATGTCGAAAAAAGATGTCTTTTAGATTTGCATATTCGACTAAAAAAAGGCGTCTTAAAGACGCATTTTTTATGTCTTTTCATGACAAGATATAGATAAAAAAGACGTCTTTTCAATATCGAAAAATAAATGTCTATTAGATTTGCATAATCGATTAAAAAAAGACGTCTTTAAGACATCGTAAATAAGACTTTTAAAGACGTCTTTTCGACGTCTTTTCTTCCACTGGGTAAAAAATGTTAGTCGACTAATTTTAGTTAGCTTAAAAGTTAGTCGGGTAATTTTAGTTAGCTAGAAAGTTAGTCGGGTAATTTTAGTTAACTAAAAAGTTAGTCGGGTAATTTTAGTTAACCAGAAAATTAGTCGCGTAATTTTAGTTAACTAAAAAGTTAGTTGACTAATTTTAGTTAACTAAAAAGTTAGTCAACTAATTTTAGTTAGACTAAAAATTTAGTTAAGTATTTTTAGTTAGACTAAAACTAACCTTAACTCCCACCCCTACCAAAACCTAAGGGTTCAATAAAGGAAATGAATTTTCCTATCCGTATTTGACCTTTTTTGAATTATCTTTAGAAGAACTTGAAAAATGTTCTAGTTGATATTAATGATATTAATGGGAATATTTTTATAAGTTCTTGTGATGTTTTGAAAGAAGAAATTACTTAAACACTGAGTTGGCAGTAGTTGGATTTGTATTTATTTGCACAACAGTCCGGGTTTTAATACTTCATTTGACGCTCAACAAACTGAGCAATCCAACCACAATAAAAACACTTTAGTTCAATTATATTACTTTTTTATTCATTGTTACATAAACTATGCAAACATGGCTTATTGTGTTTGAGGTGGTGCAAACATCGGTTGGAGAACTACTAATAAAGTAAACATAAACCTCTTAACTGTCAACAGAAGCATGTTGCCCGTTTTATATATTTTAAAGACCGTTATACTCATGCCAAGCCTATATTAGTTGGAATAAAAGTTTTTAATATAAGAAACCTTAATATTTTATTGTTATTTGTTTTGTGATTGAATTTAAATTGTATTGATTTATGCGGACCTTTTTTATTCAACGATTCTTTTAAACAAAAGCATGAAGAAATCATTTTTATAACTGATGATGTATTAATATACTTTTAATAGCTTTCAGTCCCTATTTTACCTTTTTCATAAATCAAAGTATTTTTTCATTTATTTACACTTTTGCCGATAAATAAAAAATTTACAATCGTAACTCATACAACATAGTTACATGACCGGGGCTAGAAGAAGACAAATTTAGTCTTATCATTAAGCCCCAAAAAATGCGTCATTGCTAGATAAAATATAGGTTAACAAAGCAGCCGTGGCGCATTGGTAGCGCACTTGCCTCAGAAACGTAAGATCCCTGGTTCAAACCCCACCTCTGGAAGTTTTGCGACACCGGTTGGGAAGGAGGCTTGAACTTCCCATTAAATGCTCTTTCGCGGTTCTCTGTGATAAGACCGTAAGGCACCTTATTCAACTTAAAAAAATATATATATATGTATAGTTTCAATGTATATAAAATAGATGATAAAGGAATTAAGCGGCTATTATGAACCACGTGACGCAATATTTAAATAAAACCTTCTCTTTAAATCTTTAAGTAAGTAAAATATAAAAGATGTGAACATACAATTAAATTGTACTGATTAAGCGGTTGTTTTTGCAATAAGTTTATTTTATTGTTTATTTATTTTCTTGTTGTTTAAATAACAATTTTGTATAATTATAAGAAATAACGATGATAAGAAAGTTAAATTTTTTTCTGTTTAAACTACTGTTTACTTACTGTTTAAACTTTTGATCATTATTATTATTAAAAATAAATTTATATCAATTAGGGCTGAAAGATATGTAAAAAAATTTGCTTTTTTAAAAATCATGTCTATTTACTTTAAATTAAAAATTTCAGCCCAGTTATTATTTGTAAAATCTTTTAAAAATACAGAAAAAAAAAATTCCAGAATTACAACATTTTGTCAAAAAAAAAAAAAAAAAAAAATGATTATATTGATCTATGTTTTAGATAAAGGAATTAAATGTAATGACTGATAAGAAAAAATTCAATGTACTGATTGATTTCTTATAAACATATAACACATATAAAGACATACTCTTGAAGTTTAAAATTTAATACAAACTAGACATGAAGCACATGTAACAAATCCAGTCTTGATCTGCTAATAATGCATAATCATCTTTTTTTAAATTTTGCCAAGAACAGCAGAACTAAGTGCAAGATTTTTCGCACTGAATACTGCTGTATTATTTAAATTCATTAGCACTGATTTTTGGCTCTTTAAGTATTAACTTGTCACATTTTTCTGTGAATGTTATATGTTCTAATAGTAATAATGCTGGAGAAACAGATGTTTTGAAAAAGTATCTAATTCTTTTTTTTTACCTTATCCCAGAACTCTTGATCAAATTTGACTAATTCAACATATAAGTCCTTAAGTGTTAAACCAATAAAATATGCTGACATGCAATTTGTGATAAGATTGAGTGTAACATATATGACTTTTATTTAATGCTATTTCATCATTTACCATTGTAAAAAAGTTACAATAATTAGCTTTTACTTTAATTGCCTCATTAAAAATTATAAAAGGATATTTCACTTCCAAACACACCCTTCCATGGCATTTGCATACTATAAATCCGTATGGTAAACAAGCAACTTTTAATATTTCTATTAGATGCTTTCAATACTTTT